GAAAGCAAACAGGATAGACACCGGAAGTGGTAGAAGAGAGGGAACAGGATGGGAGCCTATCACAGATGTGCTTTGAAAGACTTCACCCAGCAGGGAATAGAAGCAAATGCAGAGATGCACAGCCAAACTTAGGGCAGAGGGCAGGGAGTCTTATGGAAGAGGTGGGGCGAGGGCGAGGGAAAATAAAAAGACCAGAAAGGGACAGGAGCTCCACAAGGCGACCAACAAAGCCAAAAAAATCTGGGCTCAGGAAGTCCTGTAGTGACTGATGCATCAACCAAAGACCAAGCACGGAGAGGACCTAGACCCCCTGCTTAGATGTATCCCATAGGCAGCTCAGTCTCCATGTGGGTTCCCTAGTAAGGAGAGCAGAGGTTGTCTCTGACATGAACTCAGTTGCCTACTCTTTGATCACTTCCCCCTGGTGGGACGATCTTGCCAGCCCTCAGAGGAAGAGGATCCAGGTAGTCCTGATGAGACTTGATAGGATAGGGTCAGATAGTAGAGGAGGAGGCCTTCCCCTTTCAGTGGACTAGGAGAGAGGAATATGGGGGAAAGAGGGAGGGATGGTGGAATTGGGAGGAGATGAGGGAGGAGTCTACGATGGCAATATAAAGTGAATAAAGTATTAATAAAATAAAATCTCTCAGTTGCAGTGATGGAAGAAGCTGCATACCTGCTACATATGTGTAGGGGGTCTAGTTCCAGCGCACACATCCTCTTCGGTTGGCAGTTCAGTCTCTACTTACATATTTCTAACTCTTGAGAAAGTTTACATGAATTTTCACTAACACCTACAATTTGTAATATATTGAACTTGAATCCAGTCAAAGACACTGCCCATTGATATGTGTCCCGTTCCCATTGCATGCTGGGTAGTGGGATCCATGCTTTAGAGTCACAGAGAAAAGGGTACCATCTTGTAGGGACAGAGGAATCAGGAACAAAAGTCAATGAAATCTGACAATCCACAGAAAAGCGAGCAGAAAGAACTGACTCAAGGGGAGCTTTATATGGGCAGGAGTCATTGAAACCAAGGCTTAAAACTTTTCATAGGCGTTGTTCTCATTGAAAAGTTAGGGAACCACACTGTTTGGAAGAAAATATCTGATTTGACCAGAGAGAATTATTACCTGGGAAAAAAGGAACAAACATGGTATGATTGATTCAAGAAGACGGTGCTCAATGGAGAAGGAAGCTTTAAGACCAATAAATGGTGAGACTCAGTAGAAGCCCCGGTACATAGGCTCTTCCCTGCAGGTCTTCTCATAGCCTTTAAGATGCCACTTGGGTGGCATGAATTTTCAAGGACTCTGATCTTGTGACAAAAAATGGGCCATGGGTTGAGGCCCATGGTGGCGGGCTTCAGAACTTTGACTGAGTTCTGTTTCACACAGGTTAAACCCTGAAGGAAGAATACTGTTGTTGAGAGATGAAGCCCAAAGCGCCCTGTAACTAGGCATTTTCAGTCCTCAAAACAGGAAAGGGATGGTCACAATTCAGGCAGTGAAAGAGGAAGGCAGTGTAGGTGGGGAGGTTCATGAGCTGTAGTGGTACCCCACAATTGGAAGGGAGCTCGAGAAAAGGAAGAGATTCAAAGGGGAGCCTGGGTGTTCAGAGAAGCTTGAGTGGTGAAATGTTTGGAACATGAGAAATTTAATTACACATGAGGCACTTTATAATTCAGCTATGTGAATTTCATATATAAAAATATTTATTGTATGTTGAGTGTGTCTTTTTGTACTCCTTCCTCTGTCCTCTTTGTTCCATCAGGAAGTTTCTCTTCTACTTCCATATTATCAATACAGAACTGAATGTATCTTTACACAACCAGGAAATACATATGAGAGAAAGCATACAATAGTCCTCTTTCTGAAATCATCTTAACCCACTTCATATGATCATCTCCAGGTGCTTCCATTTTCCTCCAAAGGACACAACTTTATTTTTCTGTATAGGTGAAAAAGAATCCACTGTGTCCAGATACTGTATTTTCTTTATCCATTCCTCTGTTGTTGGACATTTAGGTTTTCCATATTTTACATACTACAATGATGTGTGAGCTCTACAATGAACTATTAGAGCTGGCTGACAAGCAGCCAACCACTAAAGATACTTATCTATAGTCAGGCATGCATAATCTTAATTTCATTTTGCTCTGATGTGTCAGTTTGGTCCTCATTATCTTGCAGTGGCTTAGGTAGTACCATAGTTAACACCAAATGTTGACCACAAATGTATAAAATTGCAGGGTATAGAGAGATGTGCTTAAATGAAAGCAAAATACAAAACAGTTATTGGCCACATAGACTGAGAAGATGCGCCTAGCACACCCACCAACAGGAATAGCTAAAAGAACAACAAACAAACTCTCATTTAACTTAATCTGCTTGTTATGTTTTTTAATTCTTTTAGTTAAAAACACTGATTAAATCTCTCTCTCTCTCTCTCTCTCTCTCTCTCTCTCTGTGTGTGTGTGTGTGTGTGTGTGTGTGTGTGTGTGTGTGTGTGTGTGTGTGTGT